TTTTGCCTTCTTCTGCATTCAGACATCCAGTTTAACCAGCACCATTTGTTGAGGATGCTTTCTTTTTTCTGTAGTGTGGTTTTGGCTTCTTTGCCAAACAAAAAGGTGGGTGGGTTTATTTTTGGATTTACAATTCAATTCCATTGATCAACCTTTTTGTTTCTATGCCAATACCATGCAGTTTTTATTACTATTGCTCTGTAGTACAGCTTGAATTCAGGGATGGTGATACCTCCAGAAGCTCTTCTATTGTACAGGATTGTTTTAACTATTCAAGTTTATTTGCTTGTTTGTTTCTCTATATGAAGTTGAGAATTGTTCTTTCAAGTTCTGTAAAGAATTATGTTGGATCAATTCATTACAGACCTTAAAAAAAAGATTCTCAGCTTTATATGGAAAAACAAAAAACCCAGAATCTCCAAAACAATCCTGTACAACAACAGATCATCTGGAGGTATCTCTATCCCCGATCTCAAGCTGTACTACAGAGCAATGGTAATAAAAACTGCATGGTATTGGCATAGAAACAGAAAGGAGGATCAATGGAACCGAATAGAAGACCCAGAAATAAACCCACACACCTATGAATACTCGATTTTTGACAAAGAAGCCAAAACCATTCAATGGAAAAAAGACAGCATCTTCAACAAATGGTGCTGGTCCAACTGGATCTCTAACATGCAGAAAAGTGAAAATAGATCCATATTTATCACCCTGCACAAAACTAAAGTCCAAGTAGATCAAAGACCTCAACATAAAACCAGATACTCTAAATCTGTTAGAAGAAAAAGTGAGGAATAGCCTAGAACTCATTGGCACAGGAGACTACTTCCTGAACAGAACACCAACAGCACAGACTCTAAGAGCAACAATCAAAAAATGGGACCTCATGAAACTGAAAAGCTTCTGTAAAGCAAAGGACACTGTCATCAAAACAAAGTGACTGCCTACAGATTGAGAAAGAATCTTCACCAACCCTTTATCTGACAGAGGGCTAATATCTAGTATATATAAAGAACTAAAGAAGCTGAAAAGCAACACACTAAGTAATCCAATTAAAAAATGGGGAACAGAGCTAAACAGAGAATTCTTGATAGAGGAATATCGAATAGCAGAGAAACACTTAAAGAAATGCTCGACCTCATTAGCCATTAGGGAAATGCAAATCAAAATGACCCTGAGATTTCACCTTACACCCATCAGAAAGGCCAAGATGAAAAACTCAAGTGACAACACATGCTGGAGAGGTTGTGGAGAAAGGGGAACCCTACTCCACTGCTGTTGGGAATGTAAACTGGTACAACCACTTTGGAAGTCTATCTGGCGCTTTCTCAGACAATTAGGAATAGTGCTTCCTCAAGACCCAGCTATACCACTGCTAGGTATATACCCAAAATTTGCTCAAGTACACAAAAGGGATACTTGCTCAACCATGTTTATAGCAGCTTTATTTGTAATAGCCAGAACCTGGAAACAACCCAGATGTCCATCAACGGAGGAATGGATACAGAAATTGTGGTATTTTTACACAATGGAATACTACTCAGCAATCAAAAATGAGGAAATCATGAAATTTGCAGGCAAATGGTGGGATCTAGAAAAGATCATTCTAAGTGAAGTATCCCAGAAGGAGAAAGACAAACACGGTATATACTCGCTTATATAGACCTATAAGATATGATAAACATTATGAAATCTATACACCTAAAAAAGATAATCAAGAAAGCGGACACGGGGTAAGATGATCAATCCTCATTTAGAAAGGCAAATGGGATGTGCATTGAACGTATGACAGGAGTCTACCACAGAAGACAGTCTGAAAGACTCTACCTAGCAGTGTTTCAAAGCAGATACAAAGACTCATAACCAAACCTTCGGCAGAGTACAGGGAATCATATGAAAGAAGGGGAGTTAGTATGATGTAGAAAGGATAGGAGCTCCACAAGGACCAAATATATCTGGGCACAGGGTCTTTTCTGAGACTGACACTCAACCAAGGACCATGTATGTATATAACCTAGAACCTCTGCTCAGACGTAGCCTGTGGTAGCTCAGTAACCAATTGGTTTCCCATAGTAAGGGGAACAAGGACTATATCTAACAGGAACTCAATGGCTGGCTCTTTGACCTCCCCACCCCCCAAGGGAGGAGCAGTCCTGTTAGGCCACAGAGGAGGACTTGCAGCCAGTCCTGAAGATACCTGATAAAACAGGGTCAGATGAAAGGGGAGGAGGTCCTCCCCTATCAGTGGACTTGGATAGGGGCAGGGAGGAGATGAGGGAGGGAGGGTGGGATTGGGAGGGAATGAGGGAGCAGGATACAGCTGGGATACAGAGTTAACAAAATGTAACTAATAAGAAAAAAAAGAATTATGTTGGACTTTTGATGGGAATTGTATTGAATCTATAGATGGCTTTTGGGAAGATGGCCATTTTCACTATGTTAATGCTAGAAATTGAAGAAGATATCAGAAGATGGACACATAACACAGTGTTTATTTTACCTCCTGCTCAGAATCTTGGGGAAAGATAACTCCCCTCACCTGTGTCCAGTTTTCTGGAAATCAGAAATGCCACAGATTCTCAGAAATAATAACTGAGTGGTGAGAAAGGAACCTAACTGCACAGAAGAGAACATATGGGTTTGCAATGCCATGCTTTTGACTGTGCCTGGTAGAAGGCATTCTAAAGATGCAAAGAGATCGCTGTCTTAGACTGTCTCCATGGGGTGTTTTAGTGGTTGTGAGGGCATTAGTATTTTGAGGCTACTTGTGGTGCTGTGAAATTAATTGCTATAATTAATATTGAAGACAAAAGATTCTGGCATGATTGAAAGGACCTAGAAATGATGGGTTACGTTAAAGCTCTGTAGCTTCCTATTTGATTCAGAAAGGTCAGTATAGAAGGGATATGGGTCAATTTGTAAATTGATTAAATAAATAAATTAATGAAGGAAAAAAATGAGAGATTAAGAAAGCCCTACTGGGAGCAACCACCACCTTCCCCCAAATACTATTAAACCATAAGCCTACCAAAAAAGAAGGAAGGAAGGAAGGAAGGAAGGAAGGAAGGAAGGAAGGAAGGAAGGAAGGAAGGAAGGAAGGAAGGGAAAGAGAGAGAGAGGGAAGGAGAGAGGGAGGGAGGGAGAGAGAGAGAAAGAAAGAAAGAAAGAAAGAAAGAAAGAAAGAAAGAAAGAAAGAAAGAAAGAAAGCCTGGCATCTAAAAAGTTGACAATAATGGCTAAAGAGTGAAGAATGTCTTGAACAGAAGAATCATGGCATTTAAATCTTGTTCTCATTTAAAAGTGCTCACACTGTTCCAGATCTGAGGTAGCAAGTGTGTAAGGTGGTCATAGACTCCCAAAGAACCCAGAAGTGAGCAAGAAGTTGAAGTCCACAGACCCTAAGGGCCCAGGGGGTCAACATGAGTGTGCAATGATGGAGGTGACTGACACATGTTCATTGAGTTTAGGAACCATTAGGTAGGTCCATGGTTCCTAATGACACACCGCATTACACTATGCTTTACTACACACACACACACACACAGACACACAGACACACAGACACACACACACACACACACACGGCCAAACTGAAGCACCTCATTCGTTATTCTTGCAGAATGTTCAGGAACCAGCGTTGAACGTAGGTTAAAGATGATACAACTCATTATTTCATGAGGAAATTAGTACATTTCCCAGGCCATCCAGTTGAAATTCAAATGCTGCTGACGTGGGCTGTCAGTAATCCTGAAATACACTTAGAAGCGGATGTAAACGTTGCTGGTAGCCGTGGGTGACAATTAGTTCCATTCCACAAGGAAGAATTTCCTTACATTAGCAAGAGCCATTTGCACTAATGTCCATCTTCTGTAGCTTGGAATGGTTGAAAATGGCATAATGAGGATGAAGGGCAAAGCAGCCCAGAAGGCTGCACTAGGAACCACTGGCAATTAGTATTTTTCACCTGTTTCAAAGTCTTTATCAAGTTTTCCTGACACTCTCCCTGCTTTTGCTCATATTCACCTTAGATTACTCTGGATCACAAAAAGGTATTTTATAAGACTTGGCCTAGTTATCTGCTGGTGAGTTGGTTTCTTCAGTAAGTTTTAAGGAAAAGCCAGGAAGGTGGAAACCCATAGATTTAGGATTTGCCTGTCATCTGGGAGGCAGGGGAGGAAGGGTTGTGAGTTTGAGGCTAGACTGGGTTATGTAGTGAGACCCTGTCTGGAGAGAAGGAGGGAGGCAGGAGGAGCTCATAACTATGACGCTATGTGGGCCTCCACGGTACCCTGTGCAACCTGAGCCAAAGCGTGGAAAATGGAGGCAAGGGAGGCAAGATGAGCATTTCAGAACCTGATAGTAACAAGTGCTTAGTTGTAACATGCATGACAACAGTAATTCAGTAATATTTACAAAAATGGCTTTACAGTCCTGTAGAAACGCACACTGAAACATTTAGGGATAGGATTCCATGAATTCTATGTATGGCAGACTATTCCCCACCGGCGAGGCAGTGAAAAACAGCTAGTCCTGAGTGGGTTGATATTGAGGATGGGTGATGGGTGCCCAGAGCCTTTTTATACCTTTCTCTTTCGCAGATGTGCAAAATTTTCCACACTGAAAACTAAATGAAATCAATTTAACGTCCTTCTAATCAATATACTCCTTTTCCTCGGTTTTGTTTAATAAGTTCTGGCATGTTCCTATTGAGTGTCTGGAATGCGTAGTATTTTCATGTTTAGCTTCTAAAATTAAAAATTAAAATCGGGGGTTCCAAAGAAATCCACAATAACTTGCTATGGCTTGTCAGTGTTTTCACTTCTGCTGTTTAGGCCAATATGAAACTGAGGTCTTGAGAAACAATCACATTTTCCTTTAAAACATATGAACAGTGGTCATATAATTACTTCATCAAGCCAAAGCATCTGTAATGCCAAGTCGTTCTCCCTCCAAGGCCTGCCGAGTGGGTAATCAATTTGTGTTTGGCTTGTTTCCAGATCACCTTCTTCATGCTGCTATCTGCAGTGTGTGTGATGCTCAACCTGGCTGGCTCCATCCTCTCCTGCCAGAACGCCCAGCTCGTCAGCTCCCTAGAAGGCTGCCAATTGGTGAGTAGTGAAAGGCTTTCTGTAAAAACTGTCCGTAAAGGTCAGAGGCTCAGATGTTGCAGGGAGACATTTAAGGGCTAATTGTACTGCGTTCTTCAAATCTCACAGAAAGTTGTATCCATCCCTTGGCTTTTTAGTTGCTTAAGGAATTTCAATCACATTGGTTCATTTCTCATTTTTATAAATTCTCCTGATTAAAATTTACTCTTGTAAATTATTCCTTTTTTTTTTTTTTTGAGGCAGGATCTCACCCTAGCCATGGCTGGCCTGGAACTCATTATATAGACTGGGCTGGCCTCAAACTTTTGACAGTATTTTTACAACTATCTTCCAAGTGATGGGATTACAGACATGCAGTTAGCTTCAGCTCACCTACCCTCTGTGTGTGTATGTGTGTGTGCATGTCTGTGTGTGTGTGTGTGTATGTGTATGAATATGCATCATAATTACGGTTAGTATTGCTGAGATGAAGCATGGGCAAAAGCATCTTATGGAGGAAAAAGTCTATTTGGCTTATGTATCCTGAATCTCAGTCCATTAAGGGAAGCCAAAGCACGAACTCAAACCAGGCAAGAGTCTGGAGGCAGGAGCTGATGCAGAGGCCATGGAGGCTGCTGTCTACTGGCTTGTTCCTCATGGCTTGCTTAGACTGCTTTCTTATAGCACCCAGGACCATCAGCCCAGAGGTGCCACATGGGCTGGGTCTTCCCGCATCAACCACTAATTTTAAAAATGCCTCACAAGCTTGGCTGTAGCCCAGTTTCATGGGGGAAGTGTCTTAATTGATGTTCCCTCCTCTCAGATCACTCAAGCTGTATCAAGTGGACATAAAAATAGGCATATGTGTGTGTGCCTATGTGTATATGAGTATTGTGCACCTTTGTGTGTGTGTGTGTGTGTGTGTGTGTGTATGGGTATGTGTGTACCGATCTGTAGACACACATGTACTGGTTCAAAAGATCTTTGTCCTGGGAAAGTTGCAGTCAGTGTGGTACACCTTACGGAAGATCAGTAAGTGATTTTGCTGGATAGAATTATCCCCTTGAGGTAGGTCAGCTTTTGATTCTACAATATGCTCTCTAGAACAGAAATTAAAGTGCACTAGTGACACTGATTACGGATCTACTTAGATTCCTGGAAGGACCGTGGCTCCCAGAGGTAGGAGCATTTGCATTGTTTCTTTGTGTTTTAGGCAGTGCTGGGATCCACTTTGGAGCCATGCTACTCCCCAGCTGCCTGTCTGTTTGCTCTGCCTGTTGGCGATTAGTCTGGGAAGTCAGGAGGGAAAGTACCCCCAAGCATCTTTGACTGGGCCGTGCTGCCTTTTTGTGTGGCCATGCTGCTTGGGTTCAAAGAGCCCGATGGGTCTCAGTGCTGAGGAACCTACTGAGTTACAGAAACTAAGTACTGGATCTTAGTCTTAAGTGTTCTAGAGATCACAGACTGGGTTTCCTTCACTATGACAGGTCATCCTCTGCAGATGCTATATCCTCATGGTTCCTACGACCCCTGCATGGCCTGAACTCCATCTTTATCAAGAGTGGGGCCTTGCCCTCCTGGCTTCACTCCACACCCTCTTTGCTCCTGAGTACTTGCTGCAGTAGACATAGCATAATCTAGCCATTTCCAGGGGGCCAGGCAATTTTCTTTGCGATTCTCATTTTCCTGTGGAAAACACTGTGGGAAGCCAAGTGACTAGGTGAGGTGAAGTGGCAGCCCAGATAAAAGCCAAAGCTTACACGTGGTGCCAGTCCCCTCCCAAGCACCCTGCTTTGGAACACCCAGCACTGCGAGAAAGAATAAGAACGTCAGAGCCAGTTTCCTCCAGCCTTCTTCCTTTGACGAATGAATGAGAAGAGCCTCATTTGCGCACAGAGGGCGGCACTGGTGCCCTCTCCACAGGCCTGTCTGACAAGAGATGCTATGGACACTTCACCTTTTGCACAACTAACTGAATTCAATAGGAGTCAAGGGGCAATTCACCAACACAAAGTCAGGAGCTGTGATGATTAGTATTGTGAACTTCACAAGGGCTAGAATCTCCCTTGAGACAAATTTAGGATGTATCCATGAGGCGGGTTTCTGGATTGAGAAGGGAAGACCAATCCTTAATGTGAGTGGAACCACTCCATGGAATGGGATTCCAGCCTGCACTACAAAAGAGAGAGGAAGCCGAATCTCAGAGTTTACCTCTCTGCTTTCTGGTTGCTAAGGAACCAGTACTCTGGCTTCTGCCATCGTGCTTTTCCCACCATTAGAGATTGTAGCCTCAAACCATGAGCCAGAATACACTTTTCCTTCCTTAACCTGCTTCTTGCAGAGTATTTTGTTGCAATGACGAGGAAAAGTAGTAGAGGCAAGAAATGTGTTAACACACGATCAGTGTCTATCCTCCCAGCACATTTACACCTGTGAACGCACGGACACATGGACACTTAGACCCGTTTATCTCTGTCTGGGCTCCTTATTCTGTCCCAGTTTTGTTTCTGGCCAGTCATTATTTTCTCTCTGATCTTATCTTTTGAGACAGGGCCTCATTTTGTAGCTCTGGTTGGCCTTAAACTCATGTAAACCCGGCTGGCCGCAAAACCACAGAGATCCACCGGCCTCTGCCCTGCAAGTGCTGAGATTAAAGGCGTGCACCACATGTCCATCAAATTTTCTTCTCAGTTTCTGTCACTGCCTGCAAATCCTTATTCCCGTCCTCATCACGAACATCTAGCCTACTTCTTAAAAACATTCTTGCCTATTCATAAATGTTTGGGCTCCAAGATGAACTTTGGCATTTTGAGGGATTCAGGAATCAAAAGAAAGGATGTGACATTTTAATTAGAATCGTAGAATGTTTATACATAGCCTTGAGAATTGATGTTAGACAGTTCCTTGTCTTCCCACTCGAGGACACAAGCCATGTTTTGTTTTATCTAAATGTTCTCAACTAATTAATTGTAGGGTTTTTTGTTCTCTCTAGAATAGCTGGTGTATAACCATGTGGACATATAGTGTTTATGTCTCTTTTCTATGCATAATTTAAAATTATCTAGTTTTCTCTGAGTAAAAAAGATAATGTAAGCGAAAGCAATTTTCTTAACTCTAAACATGTTAGACACACTTTGTCTTGAAGAGGTAGTGTGTGTGTGTGTGTGTGTGTGTGTGTGTGTGTGTGTGTGTGTGTGATTATTACATGCCTGGCCATTTACACAGAGGCACATTGATTGTGCCAGACAACCGTGCACCTCGCTGACATGGAGTCTTGGAAAGAACTGTGCCATTAGAGACTGGTAGCAAATTCTGCTGGGTGGGTGTGTGGTGCTTTAATCATAGTTTATTCATGAAGGGGTCTAGTCTGTTGATCAAATGAAGATGACCGAGAACATGACCCTTCCCACACATTCACTGCTCAACAAATGCTAAGTGGGAGCGCCTGCTGGTGGGGAGCTGGCCGAGGCACTACAGGCGTGGCTGTGCGTGAGACGGGAAATTGCAACAGGCCTGGAGAAGATAAACTAGCAGTAGTCTCAGTTAATGGACACGGACACGTGTGTACTTCAGTTGGATAAAGTTAGTTTGGTTTGGAGGGAATTCCTATAATCCCGTCACTTTGAGGCCTCTACAGAAGAATCACACAAGTTACCTTGGGTCACATGCTGAGATTTTATTTTAAAAATCGAAACAAGACAAACGAGAGTAGAGCTCTTCCCTAGTAAGGTCAAAACCTTTGGTTGAATTTCACAACAGACACACACACACACATAAATTAATAAAATTTATGAACTTATTCCTTAATTGCTCTACAAAAACAAGGAGCCGTGTAACACTTTCGCCAACGTTGTGTGACAATGCCTGGTTGCCTATCCCCATGCAAACACTTATGTGTATTATCAGAAATGTTCTTTACGAATCTGAAAAGAAAAGGAAGATCTCACTGTATAATTTTAATTTCCTCAATGAAAAGTAAGGTTTACATTTGTTTGCCATTTAAATTCTATGTTAGTGCCGGTATATGTATGCTGTTTATTTTTCTGTTCTGTTGATATTTTAATAGTTAATATGTGTTTACTATGTTAAGAAACCTGGACTTTATTCAATGTGTTGTAACTACCCTTTTTTTCCTGAGCTTTGTTATTTACTTGTTGACATTTATCACACTCTTCTTCCTGGAGGGGAATTTTGTGTTGTGTTCAATTCTTGATCATCTGCCTTCCTTCCTGATTTCCGAATCATGTGATTTGCCGGAAGAGCTTCCTGACTTTAAGTTTATGAAGTTTTCCCACTTCTCTAAATTTTTGCGATTTTTCTTAAATAATTGATAATTTTTATGGGTCTTTAGTCTGTTTTTTTTTTTTAATATTTATTAACTTTATGTGTGTGTGTGTGGGGGGCTGATTGTATGCCTATAAACCACAGATATGCAGGAGCTCTCAGGGGTCAGAAGAGGGCATCAGATCCCCTGGGACTAGAGTTACAGATAGTTGTGAGCTGCCATGTGGGTGCTGGGCCCTGAACCCGGGTCCTTTGCAAGAACAGCAGGTGCTTTTGACCACAGAGCCATCTCTGTATCCCCTGGGCTTATTTGTATGAACATCACTGCCTCTGTAGCAGTGATATTAAAGATCACACAAGCAGGCAGCACACGGAGACATCGTGGTGAGTGGGCAGCACACGGAGACATCGTGGTGAGTGGCACCCCGTGAGACAGCTAGAGCGCAGTTGCCAGCAGGAAGCACATGAGCGCTTTCCCCAGTTTTTTTCCTAAGAGCTCCCATAGGAAGTTGAAAAATCATTTAGGGATTTAAAACAGACATGTTGTTTCAGTTACATTCATGGTTAAAAAAAGAAGAAGAAGAAGTATTGATTTTCAGTTTTTCCCCAAATGCCTCCCCATTTTGCCTAACTCCAAACTTCATGTGCGTCAAACTACGGCGGCATCGGCTCTGTTTAAATGAAACCTGTTTTGACAGTGCTCAGATCCTTCCAGGCTGTTTGGCGTTGCTGTCACA